AAAGATTCAAATAATAGGAGAAGATCATATAAAACATTGGGATAAAAATAAAATATAAGCTAAATTAGAAATAACAAATGAAAACATAAAAATTAGAACAGCAGAAATAAAGCATACGAATCAAGATATAGAAGATTTTAACATACAGATTAAAGAATTATTAGATTTAAAAGTAATAAGATCATCTAGCAGTTAGCACAGATCAGTAGCCTTTATGATTAGAAATCATAGTGAAATAAAAAAAGGAAAAACAAGAATGGTTATAAACTATAAAATATTAAACTATAATACTGTAGAAAATGGATATAAGATACCAAATAAGGATATGCTAATAAATAAAATACAAAACAGCAAGATATTTTCTAATTTTGAATTTAAATCTGGATTTTGACAAATAAAAATGACAAAAGAATCTATTTCTTGAACAACTTTTACTACTCCATTAGGACACTTTGAATGGTTAGTCATGCCTTTTGGATTAAAAAATGCACATTCTATTTTTCAAAGAAAGATGGATAATATATTTAATTCTCTTCCATTTGTTTGTGTATATATAAATGATATTCTAGTACATAGTAAAAATAATAAAGCACATATGAAACATCTAAAGGTAACCTTGAATAAATTTATAGAAAATAGTTTATTATAAGTAAAAAGAAGATGGAAATAAATAATTGAATTTTTAGGAATATTTTAGGAGAGGGAAAGATTCAGTTCCAACCACATATAGTACAAACGGATTTAGAATTTCCAAAGAAAATTGAAAAAACCAAGAAATTACAAGCCTTTTTAGGAATATTAAATTATGCTAGACATTTTATTAAATATTTACGAAGGAAAGTAGGACCACTGTATAGTAAAATATCTAGTAAAGGACAAAAATATTTTAATCAATCAGATATAGAATTAGTGAAAAAGATAAAAACATAAGTTAAAAATTTACCACCATTAGATAGTGAATACAAAATAATAGAAACATATGGATGTGAATTAGGATGGGAAGGAATTTTACATTCCAAACCAAATAAATACAGTGATAAAAAAGAAGAAAAAATTTGTAGATACGCTAGCGGAAAATACAAGATAAAAGGAAAATATTTAACTAATTTAGATTATGAAATAGTGGCCATCATTCATAGTATATAAAACTTTAAATTATTTTTAAACACTGAATTTACAATTAGGACATATTGTGAAGTTATAGTAAAATTTACTAAAAAGACAAATTTTGGTAAGATAAAACAAAAAAGATGGTTAAAATTATATGAGATATTAAGCAGCTATAAAATTAATATAAAACATATTGACGGAAAAAATAATATTTTAGCAGATAATTTAAGTAGACAAGTTATTAATTTTCTAACTCATTGTCTTTATGGTGCAGATGGATCAAAGGATAATGAATTTTGGGAATGTCACTCTGAGAGTGGCCCCTCGAGGATCTAATCTTCGATTCAAAGGAAATAATTTAGAAAGACTACCAAAAAGGGAGCGTTGTCTACTGGATAATCTCTGGATGGCACGTTGACTCTAAACAAAAATTAGACAGCATTAATGTCCTAACTAACCATTTTAGACAGATTCATAATCAAGTAGAAAGCAAAAATTTTAGTTTCTTTGCATTAATTAAAGGTAGAAAGCCTGAAATATATAATTATTGGCCAGAAATACTACAACAAGTAGAAAGATTTCCCGACCCCCTTTTCAAAGAATTTTATACGCTTGAAGAAACTTTAAATTTTTGTAGAGAAATGATAGGATTTAATTTTCATATCTCCGAAAGAATTAGACAGACCATGCAAACCCTCTCTCAAGCTTTATCATCATCTTCATCAATACAACTTTGTGATAGTTGTGAAACTATGACCAAAGTTGTTGTAAATTTAAATCTTAGAAAGCATTCTTTAGAAGAAAGGCTACAACTCCTCGAAGATCAAATTTCTTCATCCCAACAAACTATTAGTAAATATCTATTAGTAAATATCAAAATGAGATTCTTAAATTGAATAATAATTTAGACAGACTTGGTTCTTCTAAAAATACACTTGAAAACCCCATTTCTAAAGACATCGCCTCTACAAGTAGAAATTATTCTGATAAAATAAAAACTTATTGAACTAACAGATTCTACAGCTGCAGGACAGGAAAATACTTTATACGAATTAGAACAGAAAATTGGCGATTGCACAGTATTGTTCGAAGTTCTATAAAGAATTCCGCTGTGCAGGAAATTATAGATTTTGCTCAAATTTTAGGTTACTATCATAATGAAAATAGATACTTCCTAAGACACGATCCCAAATACGATGTAGCCCAAAATTCAGCCTTCCTTAAACACAATTATCTAGCAATTTCCTTTGATTATACAATCTTTGAAAAAGAAGACCTCTTTTACCCAACTTTATAGTTTGGTATGATAGATACTATATACATATTAATAGATCTTTCTTATTTTTTCCACCAAAATTTAAACAGATCCTTGATCAGTTAAAAGATCATCCCTTAATGGTTCAATTCATTTCCATACCTTCTCGTGTAAAAAATGACATTGTAATTCCAGCTTATTATCGTATTTTAATTTATGAAGGAGCCAAAAAGATTTAGACACTCTTCAAGGATGAATATTAAAGTACAAACTAGACAGATTGATTATGAAAGAAGAATATCAGAAACCACAGCCATGATGAAAGTTCAAAATAATGATTTCAGATTAGCAGCATAATGGAATAACAGAATTATTTTCTACTAAGAGCACCTTGCCATGAGAACTAAAGCAGAAAAAATTCTAGTACCAAATATTGAACAAAAGAATTTATATCTGATGGTATTTCAAGAGACTAATAGAGAATTTACAGAAACTCTATCAGAAACAGAAGAGGAAGCCTATAATATTTGGTGGCAACGATAAATGAGATGGATCCAGAACTAGAAAAAGCCATAGCAGAAATAATGGACAGATAAAGACGAGATAGAAAGATGGAGAAATAATTAGCAAAACAAGGAAGTCAAAAAGAAGAGGCGTAAAGATAAAGTTTTAAACATATTTTAAAGATTCTCTGTAAAATTGATTCTCATATTTCAAGAAAAGTTAGGCATGAAGACAAAAGTTATCAGAAGTATCTTTTCAAATAATTCATTCTTTAATTACTCACATGGAGAATTATACATTATTTTTTTCTTTATTTTTGATTGCACACCTGTAAAATTTGCACATTATTCTTCAATTATTGATAACACACTTACAGTACCAACAGAATAGACGTGATGTACCAGCGTTTATAAATACATACACCTCTTAAGAAAGAAAGCACACTGCAAAAAACATACTATCACACTTGTACTCAAAAATATCTCCACCATCTTTGTAAATTCAAAGACATCCTTATAAATTCAACAACTTCGTAATTAAAGTAAGTTCTTTTCATATCTTCTCTTATTTATAATTCTCGTTTACTTTAGTTAATTTTCGGGTAAGGCCTAAAAGGGGAAACATCAAGTAAGCAATTAATTTATTCACAAATAATATTTTATTTCTGTTTCAAGAATATAATTTTAACACTCTTAGTCTCTTTATTTTGGATTCCATGGTCAAAAGATAAAGTAATCCTCTGAGCTAAGTTGACTAATTTGTGTCTCAATAGTGGGAGTTTGTTTAAGCCTTTTTAAACATGATGAATTTTTTTTTGGTTACAGTCTTAAGCCTTCTTTAGAAGGTCAAGAAAAAAGTTATGACAGAGTTAAAAAAAAAAAGTATGAAGAAATTAATTAGCAGAACGGTAAAGTACTCAAAGACCATTACAAACATATCGTTTTAAAGTTTTAATATTTTATGTCTTTAAACTACACTGCCTTGCTTACTTGTTCATTAGAAAGTTTTAACGAATATATTAATACTTGTTTAGAAAATAGAGAGATAGGAAGATTAGTCGTTATAGGAAGTCATATTTTATCCATTCTAGATAGAAATAGAGGCGACCTCTCTTTACAGGTCAAGAAGCAAATCACTGAACTCTCTATCTCTTAATGTCAAAGTTTCTTGATAGAAGATCCTAAAGATTGAAAAAAAAAAGACAATAACGAGCAAAGATTATAAGAGAAAATAATAAAAGAAATTTCAATAGAACTATTTAGACATTTTTTTTAGCAATAGACGTTTAGTAGAAAAGACAATAGAAATATACTTACATACTCTTGGTCGTAATAATTAAAAGTGCAGATTTTTTAAAACAAATTAATTAAGTGTAGAAAATATTACCAAATTAGTAGACTTTCTCCATGAAATATTTATTGGTAGGAAGAAATTTGTATTTCAAAACGTGTAAAATTTTTTAGAAAAAGATCTTATTAACAAGTCCTCTTCATATTTATTCGAAAGAGAAAATTTTGAAAAACAAGTCATTTTCATATTAATTAAAGAAATTTTTTTCAAATTTTTGGTGGGAAGGTAGGAAGAATTACATAGAATTGGTATCCCAGAAAGAATTGGAATTGGTGTGTGTATGTGTGTGTGTGTATATGTATGTATATTATGTGTCTTGTGTATCAGTAAATATGAATTAATCATATTTAAATAAGCATTCAATATAGGAATATATTAAAAAAAATGTAAGAAAAAAATATATTTTTCATTATATTAATTATATTTTCTTAATCTGTGTAAAAATGAAAGTAAATTTATCTTGTTGAAACGGAGGGAAGTAAAAAAAATTTGTTTACCATAATCAATAACATGTACATTCCTAACGAATCTTTACGCATAACCTCCAACTTTCCACATTAAGAATGTTTGAATGGTGGAATTACCTAATAACCGCAATCTCGTGACAACTTTCACCAAATTCCCATTCGACTAACCAATAAAAAACCTCACAATCATTATTGGGCCTACATTTCTAAAATTTCCAAATAACACAAGAGCACGTGGCCCAATCCAAAACTCCTCCTTCAAATGCAAAGAAACTTGGATAATTTCTTAGATTGTCGGCAATGTTTGCAGTTTGCTTAGCTGTCACAGCAGTTAAAGAGACTCCTGTCTTCTCCCCATTGGTCAAACACCCTTTTCCATTTCACTCATTGCCGTTATATGTTCTAAGCCAACGCCTCTCTCCCTCTCATGAATTTACCTATTATTCCTGGTTTTTTCTTGAAGAAAGAAGAAGAGATGATTAAGAGAAGATTGGATTTCAATGGTGGGAAGTACGAAAATGCGGCGACGACGTCGTCGTGTGGGTCGAAAGAAGAAGAAGTGAAGTGGGAAATGAGGCCCGGTGGCATGTTGGTGCAGCAAAGAAGTGAGAATTTTGGTGCTCCACCTCCAAAATTGCGTATTCGAGTAGCTTATGGTGCCCTTCGCTACGAGATCGCTGCACACTCACTAGCAACATTCGGTAAGACTTTGTACAGTGTGACTCTTTAATTCTCTCGACTTCCAGTCGTATTCGCTATAGCATATTAAGCTAAACGGTGTAATTGAAATTATAGCACGAGTTTAAGTCCCGTTTGGCCTCCATTATTTTTCATTCCATTAAATTTCATTTTTCTCTCTTGTTTTTAAGCCCAGAATTTTACATAAAATAATATTATACGTAAATCGAAAACTTTTTCTTCTTTTTCAACTACTCATTTTTCAAAAAAATAATATTTTATCTTCAAAGAAATGGGGGCCAAACGGGGGCTAATTTTCTATACTTTAATATAATACCATTTATGAAACTTGTGCATGTAAATTTATATATACATTGAGTTATCTGTTCTTGGCATGTAGGGGAATTGAAGAAGCTGCTAACGGCAGAGACCGGGCTACAACCTGGTGAACAGAGGATTATTTTCAGAGGAAAAGAGAGAGAAAATGGAGAGTATTTGGATATTTGTGGAGTCAAAGACCGCTCAAAAGTCATACTAATCGAGGATCCAGAAAGCATCGAGAGAAGATTTATTGAGATGCGTCGGAATGCGAAGATCCAGACCGTTCATCGCTTAATCAATGATGTGAGTGAAGAGGTTGATAAGCTGGCGAAGCAGGTGAGCACTACTCATTAATAATGCTATTAATATTAAAATATATCGTACATTATTATGTTAGAAGGTTTGTGGCTTTGTGCTACTGCTATTTATGCTATGGCTGAGCAAATTTACAATTTGGTCCATTCTATCCTCCATATATATTACACAAAGAAAAAAGAATATGCCAAGTGGCCCGGCGGAGCCAGTCTAGGTCGTATCCGATCCAAGCCCAGCAAGTGGGTGGTCCAATCTGATATTAGAGAGGGGACCAAATGATGAATTTTCATATTCTGGAGGGTAAATTTGTCTAATCACTTAATTTTCCCATGGATAAATTTTAGATCCAAGTTCCTGTGAAGAATTCGTAACATGGCTAACCTAGCGTTCTCTTGCCCGTCTAACCAGATTTTCGGTATATCTTGATAAAAATTCACGAATCATGTGGTGGAAAAGTTGATATAAAATGTGAATCCCACTAAAATGTGATTAAAAATGAATATGAAGAAAAATAAGTTTTAGAAAATAGAGACTGAACGTGGCATAATTTTGTCATTCATGTGTAGTCTTATTATCATTTGATTATAGGTTTCTGCAATAGAGAAGTCAATCGCAATTGGTAATAAAGTAGCAGAATTACAAATCACCACTTTGACTGAGATGTTAATGAGACAAGCTGTGAAGCTAGATAGCATCTCAACAGAAGGAGATGCATGTGCGCTCAAAGATTTCCAGGTATCGTGCCATGATCTTGATTTTTCTTATTTTTTACACTTTATATCAGTAGACAATGTGTATGAAGATTTTTCTAGAAACTCCTGAACGAAATGTAGGGCAAAAACATCTATATATTAGTTTCACGTCTCTTTAAAATTATTGTCTTACTAAGTGGGGAATGTTATGATTCGATAATGTTAGGGTCCCTAGAGTCGGATTCCTCATATAATTTTCCATTTTATTGACTTTGCTCATAGGAACCTTAATCAGTCCACACGTAATATCTATACAAATTTAACGAGTCACATCATATATTCACGTATAAGAACTCCGAAGCACGTTATAGTGGGTTTGGATTGCCCGAATTTATTCTTCTATAAGATTAAAGATTTTATTGATCCATTTATGTCTCTGAGTCACGTGATATAACAAAATTTTTCTCAAAACGACCATGACTCTCTTGAAAATTTTGAACCAATCCGAGCTCCTGATTAACAGTTAGATTGGTGTGTTTTGTTCGCAGGGCAAGAGAGTGCAGAAGTGTGTGGAAACCCTAGATCATGTACTCAAGGTATCAAGTGCAAGGGCAAAACCTGTTATAGTGACAACCAAGTGGGAAACTTTCGATCCACTATGCAACACCACGACGACTAATTGGCAACTTTTCGATTAAATCTCCTTTTTTTTCCTTTTCCAATTTCTCAATGGACTTCCCTCTTTATTTGTCACTTCCAAATGGAATGTATTAAAGAGTAATTCATTTGTTAGGATTATTTTGAGATTCATCGTAACTAATTGATTGTGGCGTACAATGTTATGTTGCCACTCACCTCCTATCTACAAATAGAAATAGAATGATAATGTAATGCTTCGTTGTGTGAAAATAGTGATTATCAACACAACGTGTGCGTGCACCTAAATGTACGTGTAACATATATACACGTGGACGAGAAACTTGTTGGCTCCCACCTCACTTTCAAAATTCAATCGCATTATGGTAACAGAAAAAGATGATAGATATGTTGACTTGTTGACATGGAAAAAGCAAGAATTAAAAGGGGAAAAAAAAAGACGCAATGTCCAAAAACCAAAAAATGGCCTAATGTTTAAACCCGCATAATCCCACAATCATTTGTTTTTCCCCAAATATCTCAAACCCCCCAGCACTGGCAACATTACGTCGCTTCTCTTGCTGCGCCAAAAGAATCAAACCTCAACTTCGTCTGACACGATTATTTTACTGCACCAGAAAATTCGTTGAAGGCGTTCGTGAGCTGTTTGACAACGGGTCACATCTTCTCCGACGGAATTCATAGCAAGCAGAAGAAGTTTGTTATTAGGTTTACATGAGTGTGGATCTGATTGCAAGAAATCAATATTGTTGCATGTAAACAAAATAAATTTGCTTTGGTGGGTTTTATGACCAAATCAAACTCTGTTGGGGTGGCGATGGTGTTGGATTTTATGATGGGGGGAGGTGATGATGATGGTGGTGGTGGTGGGGGTGTTGTGAGACGGATTTATAATTTGCTTATTTGGCATCTTTAATGATTTGAATACTTTGTTTTATCATTTTAATTTCACTAAGGTTGACAGTCAGCTTGTTGGTATCTTGAATGGAATGGTAACTAGAATTACAATAATTGCAGTTTTGTGATCATATTTTGATTAATCTACATGGTTTGAAGTGGCATTTTATTGTGAAATCCAACCCTGTCTTTAAGTTTGACATTCAGTTTTTTGGTAGCTTAAATGGAATGAAAACTGGAATTATAGTAATTATACATATGTGTTCTTATTTTGATTAATGTAGAGTGATGGGTTGAAGTGACAATTTACTATATTTTAAAGGTTGACATTCGATCTATCGTAGTTTATTCTCAACTTACGATGACCGGAAAGGATCATGGAATGTGTCATAGTTGTAGACAAAATGGACATTTGTTTGAGCATTGTCCCAGAGAAATGCCGTTATTCATGGTACAAACATGCATTTTTCAAGTGTTTTGAGGTGGAAAAAGAGAAAAAAACAAAGATAGATTATTCAATACATATAGTGCAAAATGCAAATATAGGGAGTGGATCGGAGATGGTGAAACAAGCGATGAATCGAGTGCAGTTAGCGTTACTTTGAATAATCATGTGACGATCGAGGAAGGAACTAAAGAACTATCTGAAATGTTTGAATCTCGATGTCGATTAATTGATCAATAGGATGTGGAGATTGTGTCAACATGACAATATGATAAGTGTGTTTTTGCACACTTATTTACATCACAAACATGACTTAAATACAAGTAAAATGATTGAATTGTTATTTAACTTTGTCAAATTCATGCAATGTAGGAAATTCTATGGAAATAGTGGAATTCAGGAGAAAAGAGCCGAAAAGGACCAAATTGGAGCAAAATGAAAATTCAGGGACCAAATTGCAATTATCTGAAAGTTGACCCGATGAACACATCAAGCAATTGATCAAGCCAAGCACCAATTGGAAGTTATAAGAGAACATTTGAGCAACTAGGAATAAGAGAGGGGGTCAAGGAGTGAAGGAATGAAACTTGAGGACCAAAATGACTCAAACAAGAAGTTAGCTCTACTATGCGGTCGCATAGTATAAAACCTATGCGGTCGCGAGTGAACCTCCAGGGATTAAAAAAGCCATTTTTCTTATGCCTATGCGGTCGTATAGGTAAAATTTTTCCCCGAATTTTACAGTTTCCTTATATGATTTCAACTCCTTTGGTAACCTAATTTGGACGGGTTTAAATAGCAACAGAACATCCAGAAGCCGCACGAACGACTTGGGAGGCAAAAACATTCATCTTGGAGTGGATTTGAAGGCACGAACAAGAATTGATGCGAGATTTACAAGGTTTCTTCAAGTTTTGATAACCCGGTGATGTATTTTATTCATACTTTGTTAGATTTCGTTATTTTTATCATGATAGGCTAGATTTTTGCAACTAGGTGATCGATGAACCATGTAATTATTATTAAACTTGCTATTTCATGATTTTGAATTATTAGTTCGATGGGATATTTGAATGGATTATATTGGTTTATTTATTTCCACAATTAATGTGCACTTAATTTGTGTGAACTTGGTGGTTTAATTCTGAATTTGAGAAAATTAGATTAAACTCGACATATATAATTCATCATAGGGTTCGATAGGGGATAGAAATATACCCTTATGCCCTATGTAAATCTTTAATTGCTCACAAAAGATTATATGCGTTCTTGTATAATTGCATCCGTCATAGAGATATAGGCTGATGATTTATGAGAATAGGTTCAATATATCTCGAGAGAGAGTATTGAATAGATTTAGGAGCATTGATTTATCAAATTCTTATTGAGTTATCAAAATTGTGAAATTAGGGTTTAATTAGTAATTATTTGGGGATTCGTGATCCTAGTGCATTCGTTTTACATAGATTTTCATAAATTGACAATATATTTCATTTATTTTTTCATAACATTTCGTAATTGAGTCATTCGTTAAGTGAATTTAAGTAATTAGGGTTTGAATTGAAATTAGGGTTTTTCAATTTGGGGATTTCCCCCAATTAGGGTTTGATTTGAAATTAGGGTTTTTCAATTTGGGGATTTTTCCCAAAATTAGGGCTTTTGATTCCAAAATTCATTTTAACTCAATTAGTTTCGATTGAGGCTAGAATAAGTAAAATTGAACTACTCTTTCTTTGTGGGACGATACTCGGACTTCTAAAGTCCATTTTATTACTTGTCACGACCCGTACACTTGCGGTAATTTAAATCGAAAGAAATATTTCAGGAACACAATACACAAAGAAAAAATAAATGCGGATGGGGGTAAGAAAGGAAAGGGACATGAGTGAGTTGTAATAGTTAATTTAATGACGTTAGTTCACTTATGTATTTTATGGATTAATAGTTTGATTTGGGTGTATTGGTTAAGCAATTTGCTTTTGTAACTGTAATCACTGTATGAAAACTCGATTTCCATTTTCTATATGGTGTTGCTATCTATTTTTACGCAATGTGGATAGCTTGGACTTGTTCTAGCATGCATGTATTTTTGATTAAACCATGGGTGATGAAGGTTGTTCCCATTATAATCCAGGCTTAGAATGTGATCGTTTAATTTGAAAAATCATGATGGTCAGAACATTTTTGCCTTGGCATCTTCAAAACTTTATCGATAAGCTAGCTTTTACTTGATGTGAAATAATACTTCTATTGTGTTCAACTGGCAGGTTGGCTTGCCAATCGAGGAGTATATAGGAAATAAGGCTAAATTTAAAACATGCTTGTTGGCTTTGTGTCTTCAATCGTAACTGAATTGTAAAATATCTCATAACAAACATGTAGAACAAATGGTATAAGGTCAAAATTTAATCATTCATAGAGATATCTCATTCCAAACTAACAGGTTAGCGACCATCGACATTTCATAAATTTTTTTCCCAATTTAGAAATCTTTTCAGCACAATGACCATGATAGCATTTATATTACTTTTAGTAGATCCACACAACTAATTAGTTATGCATTAATCAAATTAACATAACAATTCAAGCTTCAAACTCCCCAACTTTCCCATTTCATGTGGCACTGGTTGGATCTTCGTTAACAAATATGAGATTGCAATGAACTTTACCAACGAACTTCTCTTGAACTTCCCAAAACTTCAAAATTGTGTACACTATCTGGAATTACATCTCCCTTTCATAACTTGTTGCACTAGGTATCATTTAAAAAGGACTTAAAATCTGCTTGAAACTCATTCTCAACCTTATTTCTCAATGCTCGCTCATACTATTTAACAAATTGCTTCAACGAGGTCTTCTAATGCAATACCCATCGAAAATGCATTAAGACTTTCGCTTCATTGAGTTGTTGACATCCCTATCGAGAAAGTGGTTCGCAAATAATAAGGAATCCAACGGGATCTATTATCTTAAAGATCTGACAACCATTAATTATCCTGCAAATTTTACGTTTCTCTCATCACTATCTAGCATTCTTCAACAAATTGAGAATCATACACCAATCCATGTATAGTATATAATATCAAAGCTTTATCAAAGTGAAATTCGAACATTTTTGGCAACTTTTTCAATATGTGCCACAAACACCACTTGTGCTTCGTATTGGGGAACATGATCTGAATTGCGTGCTGCGTTATCCTAACTTAATAAGTAATTATTNGCCACAAACACCACTTGTGCTTCGTATTGGGGAACATGATCTGAATTGCGTGCTGCGTTATCCTAACTTAATAAGTAATTATTCCATTGGGAGCTTAGTTGTTCATACACTGCTGCCATGTCCAAACAAGGTACACAAGTGTATCAGTATCCTGATTTGATATAAAACCACATTCAAGAAGTGGTGATTGACTGTGATGATTCACTCCAACAAAGAGACAGATGTCATATCATACTTGTTCGTTAGGTATGTTGTATTGAATGTGACAACATCACCAAACTCCATACATGCTTATTACTCTTATTATCTGCCTAAAATACATTTTTCAGACTCAACTTTTCATCTAAATCTATATTTAAGTAGAACTCGGAGTACCGTGCTTGTATAGTCGAAAATTTTAATTGTATTGCTGCGGCATCACCTTCTCCTAACTCAATCTCCTAAATTGTTCAACATAGTTCTTCTAGTGCAGGCCATATTCTTTTATCTATCTGCTTCAACAATTGCGGAGTTGTAACTTTTGTGCAGCGATATTCCTACAATGTCATTTACTTCAAGTTCATTTCACTTGAGCACTTAATTCAATGTTGCATGATGTAATCTAGAGTTTGAGAGATTTGTTTTATGATTGTGATCGAGGTATACTGTGTTAATTCTTAGCACTTCATGAATATCTAAACATGTAGTCAA